AATCCTTTTGGCAATTTCATCTTTGCTGAAGATTGCGTTCCGTTGGAAGTATTAATAAATAGTTGTTCATTTACTTTTGGTTCCCATTTCAAATGTGACTTCAATTTATACAAGTGAGACTTTTTTTTACCATTGCGGAATAATTACTGGCAGGAAATGAATTGCATCCATCGGTATAAAAAAATCAGAGAAATCTACCTGCCATGTTTACTTTTGAGCATTCAGCTATTTATATGAGCCTATGATGTTGTCAGGGAGTGGAATAGGAGCAACTAACAGCAAGAGATAAAATTATACACTGTCAAGTGAAACCATTTCTTCCAGAGTGTAGGAATAAAGAGAAAATTAAGATTGGGTCCATGGTCTGATAGAATGGTCAATGTACTAATAGGAACATTTTAATTATAGTAGGAAGTCATCCTCTCCACGGACTCAATTCTGATTCTCTTCTATGAATTTCTTCAGGTAGATATCCTCATCAACAACGCTGGGGTATCGTCACTCCAGACGGTGTTCGAATCCACGAGGGACGCGATTAAAAGGTTGTTCGACGTGAACTTCCTTGGCAACATCATGCTAGCCAAAGCCCTCCTGCCCCATTTCAGGCAGAGGAAGGCAGGGCACATCGTCGCGTCATCCAGCGTCCTTGCCATCTTCTCCACTCCCAAGTCGTCAGCCTATAGTGCCTCAAAGCGCGCCGTTCAAGTGAGTTGAAGCAGCTTCCGTATGAATCATGCACAGATGTGATATATTTAAAATCCTAATTTCCGTCGACTATATTCACCTAACTTTTGACGATCGCGGTCTTTGTTTTCCTCTGTGCAATACATGAAGTGAGGAACTCCTGAATGCTCACTCATTTTGGGTCAATGTGGCTCTGGTCAGTCCAGCATCTACCAAGGGGTAATGCACTATTTTCACCACCGTGGACCATAAGCTCACGAAGTGAAGGTCACCAAATCATGTTTTTCCAAGTATAGGGAAACGCGTATTATTGCTTGTCGTAGTGACAACCCTTGTAGCATATAACTGTGAAACAACATAGATCCAATGTTGATTCAACATCCGTACGCTGAACCAACATTGAATCAATGTCGATTCGATGCTACTAGGGAATGAAAGAGTAAGTGATGGGAAATCAGCGATACTATCCGCATATAATTGGATCGAGTTATGGATTCAGCCGTTGTACGCTATATTTAACAGTGCTACGAAATATTCTCATGTTGGTTATGTTTAATAAATCAACTGAAATGGCGTTCTGGTTAAGCTGAGGAGATATTTGAATGTTCAAATTGGCAGTGACGAACTGACTTGGATTGATAATATCAGTCAACGTGATACAATCAAGCCATCGAAAGAGACGGATCCCAAAGAGCTCGCCGGGTTGCATGGAGTGTGCGAAACTGCACATGTTTCCATGGAACGGAGAAGAGCAATTTTGATCAATCGTGACCGATCAACTGATACCGTGCCAAGTTGAACTTTAGGCAGAACCATGTTTTGCAGAAATTCACTCAGCCCGGAACGACTCATTGAAATAACAGGACACTCTAACAAGTCAATTATCGACTGGGAATGCTAATGACGGCGGGCGAGGTTCTCTTCGTTTCTCAATGGAACACTACATACTGCATATTAAGGGTATTTCCTTCGCTAATCCATTTTTTTTTTCCAAAACATGGTGAAAGTGTTGACAGTTAACATAATGGGGATACTCAAAGTGCAGGTACGCATTGTAAGCATGTTACTGATTCTCTCATGCTATGCTTGCTCTAATTTCGTGCTTAAAGTACATAATTATTTCAAAATGTCCAATATATCGTCCGTTTTTACTCTAAAATTATTTAGTTAAGTGAAGTAGGTACGTGTGCAATACTGTCATTAACATATTAGGAGGCATTTCAAAGAATCAAATTCTGCAATTCCTCTTTATGGTTCTGTCGATGATCCTTTCGCACCCTTTCCCCTCAGGGATACTACGAAACCCTTCGAGTGGAGGAAGCCCGGAATGGGACTAAAATCACCCTCCTGTTCCCCGGCCTGGTCAAGATCAAGCCCTCCACCAGAAGCATCAGTGAGGATCGGGCTCACATCGACAGGGTAAGATCATATTTTGAATGCATGAAGCAATGTACTTTTTGAATTAATACGAGAACAATTCGAGGATGTTGTTCCTCAATACAATGCGTACCAGTTAAGCTACCGGACTGAACTTTTTTTAATTCCGCAAGATTATTTTCATCGTATGAATTGATAAATGAGACGGTTGAGTAGAGTTGTGGAAATCCTCTTCTAACAAATTTCTTAAATGAGATATTGGCCGGCAATATAGGAAATACAGCCTATGTTGTATTCCCAGAGGGAGGGGAATTGTTCATAAAGCTTGTCTCAAACCGGGAGCACTGTTGCAGTAATTCATCAAATGTTGCAAAAAGTGAATTGATAAGTTTCTTTGTCAGGCTCCAGGAATTTGGAATGGTTTTCAAGGCAGGTAGTAGCGAAGACATAGAAGATGATGATTGGTCCCTTGTGAAAAGATCATGTAGATATTAGAAAAGACTTAATGAAAAATTTTCAGCTCAAAAATATCATAGGAATCCAATAGGGTTCTTATAGGATGCTGTAGAATTCTTATGGAAACCCTTTCCTTTAAAAATATTTTGGAATATTATACGATTTTCCCGTACGGAGTGTGACTACCCACCAGGTGGAGATGGTGGATGCGGCTTTCAGCAAGCAGGAAATGCACCTTCAATGTTTTCTCTAATTGCTGGAAACCTTTTGAGAGAAAACATGATGAATCATTGCCGAACTCTGGGGATACAGCATACTCACAACACACTAAGGTGCAACATTTCCAGCGAAACTTTCATTTACGATACTCAGATGAGGACTTACAGAACACCTCCCAACCGCATAGTATAACGGAGGTCACTTAATGGATGCGGAGTTATTGGCATGCTGGAACTACATACGTTACAGCATCTGTTCTATGAACGAATCTGAGGCAAGCATCCGGATCAGCCCAAGTCAATAAAATTCCAAAATAACCTGTTTCTATCTGCTTCAGAGGTATCTTCTTGGTATTGCTTTCCAGTTCGACACGCAACAAGTACCCTTTTGTGAGGTGGCTTGAGGGGAAGGGAAAAGGTAAATGGTCCCATCCCCTTACCCCATTTTGGCACATGCCATGTCTTCCCTTCCTTGCCTCGTCTAATGAACCATGAACTTCTCTCAATTGCTATGCATTTATTTAGAGTTTTCCTGAGATTTTTCTTCAAAAATGCACTTAAACGTGACTGTTTTGGGCTATTAGTATTACTTGAGGACCAAAACTTATATTCTGATTTCAGAATTGGAAGTCACCTCGATTTTCTCCCGACTCATAGTAGGGGTGGGGAGGGTAACAATTATTCGCAGTTGTGTTACTTAGGTGACACATTAGGGATGGCCACACAATGGTCCTATGCCAGAAGTCAAGGGGCACACCACTGAAACCTTCTTGAAATGTATTGAAATTAGTTTAGAACCTTTCGAAATTGCTCTAATTGCACCATGGCTACTTGAAGAAATATACACTTTTATTGAACTGTTTCAAGTTTCAAGTCGACAGAGATTCGCATCCGGAATGAGCAAGGCATCGCTATTTAACATATCCTTAAATCCATAGTTAACAAATATTTAAGTGTTGTGAGAGCCAAAGATGGGAACTCACATTTTTCTATCAATAAAGCCAGAAAAAAAATGATGCAAACCTTTCACTCAGAAGCAGGATATTGGTGGATTCCCATCTTCTTGCAGAGTTACTTGAATGCGTTCGAGATGGACGTAGAAGTGTTCGCTGATTGGGTCCTGATTGCAATCGCTAATGAAATGTCTGCTCCCTGCATCGCTAAGAAATGGATGCTCTTCACCCTCATATATCACTTCCCGTCCATCGCCAGATGGTAAGAACTTGCCTCTTCCCTTTTAAATTTATATCTATTTACTAGAATTTACTATTTCTTTAGACGCATTNAATCTAATGAAGCGGCTCAGTTCCGAATAGGCAATGCGATGAAGAGATGATGTCATGAAGACGTTATGCTCATAATAGACTATTCAAATTTCCGCCTATTAGACGGCCAGCGTAGCGGCCGCAGGCCGCTAGTATTTTCTAGAATTTACTATTTCTTTAGACGCATTCACTACTTATTCTTTCTGATATTATTTTGTGCATCATTCTGATATCATTTATTTGTTTCCATATGAAGTTAGTCTCACACGCTATGGTTATTCCATCATTACTCTTATGCATTTAGGGAATCTATGGGTATTTTGAAGAAAATGTTGGAAATGAAAAAAAGAAGAGTAATTAATTTTAAAAGTACATAGAAAATGACGCTGTGAAAATTGATTGTGAGTTGAAAATGCAACTTAAAGAAATGGACCTGAAAAAGCCCCTCTTTACAGGAGAGAGGGACCTGATACTGGGAGATTCAATTCCTTTTTTGAGATTTAAAAATTCATCAACTTCAAAATCGAGCTAACTGTTGCAGTTTAACTTTGCATAGCATCGTACCTTAGAACGTTTTAGGTGCATACATGGCTTCTACGTGTCACGTACAACGATTTAATTCCCGTTCATTTCAAACTCGTCGAATGTATTTTTATTTGTATTTTTATAAAAATGCACTTTGTATTTTTATAAAAATGTTCACATGTTCTCATGTATGCAAGCGTAGCGATGTACGTGAAAACGACGGCACGAATTTGACTGGGGATGTAAATTGAGTTACATTTTAAATGATGGAATGACAGGGCCCGTAGAGGAGCGATCACACGTCTATTGCATCATATTCGCCATTTGCAACATGATCGCACCCATCAGATGCCTTTGATCAATGTTCAATCCCTCCTGTTAATAATGCACATATAGTTTTTACAATATGGTCAATATCACAGTCCTGATATAATGTTCAAAGTGAGTGAGTGAAAGTGCATTGCTTTCATTGAAACATTGAAACCCACTGTAACAAATCATCCATAAAATACCCCTCGTAGCTCCTTTTTGCATGCCGAACGACCTCATTTTCGACAATATTTCTTGGATTTTATTCTTAACCTAGTATGAAAATCAGAGGGAAAACCATTTCTTGAAAGACGATGAAAATAGTGCACTGGTATCTTATTTAAGTGGGTCATACTAATTTAGTGCAATATCTGCAAAATTGAATAATATTTGGTTGTCCTGAATGGTTTCGCTTTCAGGTTCATGGTGGCAACAGGCCACATGAAGTACATGAAGGCTCTGACAGTACATGAAGGCTCTGACAAAGAAGGAGTGACATGCACCTTCCCTAAATTTTTTATTTTCCCTTTCACTGTTTTTTTTTTATAGACACCAAAACAAGGGCAAATCGGATATTGAAAAGACTCAGATTATGATGTTTTGTAGTTGAAAGACCATTACCTTCCCTCCAGATTAGAATGGCGACGATGCATTTGTTTTTATGTGCATGCATTGTCTTTCACGGTTTCATTATGGAATTGGAGACATGGGTCAGCTGCTTGAATGAGTCTCACTTGCATCGTCTGCAAAGATCGTGGATCCAAGTAAAATGGTTCCTTAAATAAGAGTTTGCTTTAAGTCAACACGCCTGAGCCCTTCCTGGAATTTCACGTTCTTGAAACAATGAAAGGTTTTACTTTGACCTTTATCTTTTAAAATCTTATTTTAATTATTTTACTTTGTCTTTTTCTTCGCTGTTTATCAACGGCAATGGAAAATGCATGACTCCAAAACGGTTCGATGCAGAAAAAGCAGAGAAACATAAATCTTAATATGGATATCTGGACGTAGTACCGAATAAAAATATTGCTCTTTAATTGCCAATGAATTTGATGTTTTCATATCCTAAAAATGCTTCAATTTGATTTCTCGTCGCTGTCAACTTTAAATAGTATTTTGCGTTTTCCGATCGAAAACATCGGCCACGACAATTGATTACAGGCAGGAGTGCTAAATGCTGCTCAGGTAAAGGTCAGGATGAAGTCAGAATTCTCGCCATATGGAAATATTGCATTGGATAAAATACTGATGTTGAAAAACATTTGCTCAAATCTATACGATGCTAAAAAGTTTATATGTGCGCTTTTTAAGGCAATATTTACGAGATCGACATGGGTGGTCGGTAATGTCCCACTTTTAGAATCCATTCCTTTTCTTGTGATCCTACACAAATATTTGAACTATCATCGAATTGCCTTGTTCATTTTAAGTGAAACCAAGTATAATTCGAACGCATCGTTCAGGAGAAAGGAGGTGCCAATTGCCTTCAAACTTCATGACCATCGATTTCCTGGCAGAAGAGGATGATGTAGTGTAATGCTTGCTCTCTTGTAGAGACAGTCTTGTACTGGCCACTTTCTTACAATGTGGGCATGTCAGCCACGCCTTCAAGAGGCATAAATGCTAGCTGGAAAACAAATATTCTTTAAAAGGAAGCTTCACGTTAGACTGACATTCTCGTGTAGACTCAGTCGATTAAACGATGAAGAACTGATGATGAACGAGGGGCAAGTCGATGGGTTAAAGTCTCCTCGCACGATGTTAATGTCAGGAAGACATCAGCATTGCCGTCTTCAGCTGAGGAGAGTCACTGCATCTTCATCGCAACTCAACTGCATTTATTGCATATTTTCCGCCTTTTCCTTTTTTTTTACAAGGGCTTATTCCAGTTCCACACACAAGCCTTACACTTTGTGGAGACCCTTGAATGTAAGCGGCCTGCCTGCCCAAACACTGCTCGCTGAGCACGCATGACACCCAATGTGTGGAATTCCTTGTGGAGGTATATATTTTCTACCATTGGCTCTGCAGCATTGCAAAGAGGAAGTGAGCTCATCAGCTTCTCATGAAGGTGATCCATAAGTTAATTCATATGCCCAGTGTGCTCTTTATCAAAGTCATATATTTAGTCATTTCAAAAGACCATATCTACGTGTGAAAACCAAGGAGAAGTGAAAGCAATTATTTTCTGCAACAACGAGAGTTTTTCTCATTACAGGTTCGTCCCATACCATTTGCATTAAACGCATCGAATTTCGACAAACCATTATCCCGAGTGAGTGAAATTAAGTAAATTGTCAGATTCAAGGAGCATGATGAAGGTTTTTATTGTTAAAAAGTAAAACCTATGACATGCGAATGAGACACCCTTTCTTGCGTATGATAGGGACAAGTGGAAGCAAATCTGATCTAGGTTTCATTTATTTCATCTTGGGAGTTCTTCAGAAGATATATAATCAGTAACTTCCCGGGCTCATCATGAAGGACCTCAGGTCAATCCGCACATCCGCCAGTTCACATATCAATGATATGTGAACTGGCGGAAGCGAATTCCCCACACATTTAGATATATTTAAATTTTCATTAACTTGTAAAGCAATTTGGGATCTTTAAAAAAATGTATTGGGTTGGAAAGAAAGTCTTGCAGCACTTTCTAAAACTATTTATAAAAATTTCCAAAGGAATGATGGGCGGGGCTTTGCATTTGTATATGCTGGAATGTTCTCGAAGCTTCTGCCCTCGGGGTAATCTTGAAGGCGTGGCTGACATGCCCACATTGTAAGAAAGTGGCCAGTACAAGACTGTCTCTACAAGAGAGCAAGCATTACACTACATCATCCTCTTCTGCCAGGAAATCGTTACTGGAGATGAGAGCTGGGTCCTCTACGTCAACCATACTCTCAAGAGTCAGTGGATTCCACGAGGAGAATTTCTCACTTAAGAAAAAAAAAGGAGATTCCCTTGCGTCGCCGAAATTAAATATCACTTGCCAAAAAGGCACGGGAAATCTAGGAGACAGGAGCGCTGCCAAATTTGAAATGACAGCTCCCAAGTTTAAAATGACTAACGGGGACATTCGTCGGGAGAAAACCTATATTAGTTTATCATCCTAGTGCTGGTGAGTCTTTATCATATTGGGAATTGCAGGTAATTCTCATGGTCGAAGAGTATCAGTCCTTCCCAACCAACACATTGTACGTCCTACGTGATATTGGCAAAGTACTGGCTCCCGCAATCACAATATGCCCAATTCATCTTTCCAACAATCCTTTCACGAGAGTTGAAGGTAAATGGTGCAAGAACGACTCCCTAACGTTAAGAGATGTCGTTCGGGAGGAAGAGAATTTTTGGATGAACTTAAGTACTCCCTCAACATTCAATGGAGAAACCACCTATGAGCTACTCTCAAGTGGGTTTTCATTGAACTCCGGTTAAAAGATGGAACTAACGTAAAAGAGTACATAACGGATACTTTATGCTTCGCTGCGTAGGTTCTGGGCATTGGAGCGAGAGAACATTCTTTGAAGTGAAAGGTTATTCTTGCCACAAGTGCTTTATGCTGATCCCGAAGAAAAGCCAGCTGATCCAGACAGATGGTTGCTCGGACACCCCATTTCGCATTACTTTCGATGAATCGCTCTACATCGAGGTGATAATAACCAACCACATCTTCCCTTACGAAAGTGTCTCATTGGATTCCTATAGGAACATAGAAGAATCCTATAGGTTCCTATAGGCCAAATATGGTTCAGTTTGGGACGTAAATGGTTCCTTATAAAACCTTAAGGAACAGGACCTGTAGGGTTCGCTATAGGACCTATAGGATTCTCTATAGGGCCTATAGGGTGCCCTATAGAACTAATAGAGTTCCCTATAGTACCTAACGGTCTCCCTTTGGAACCTCTAGGACCTATAGGGTTCCCTATAGGGCCCATACGGAACCTTATAAGCCAATAGGGTTCCGTTTGAAATTCTCCTCTGGCCACTAGATGGAGGTATTGGGTTCTCGCATTTCTCAATGGCCCTCCCCTTACCTATGGAATCATCTCTCACAAGAGAGTTTTGTACTTCCCCAAATGTTTCTCCTAGTCTCATTTTACCGATCAATAAATTTCGACACTTCCTTATTTGTCACCCCCATCTTCCAGATAGAATCATGGAGTCCAGACTAAAAATATGACCATATTCCCTTCGAAAACTACTTACAAGCCTTAGCAGATTTTATCCGAATGGAGTTTCAGAAAAGAGATGTGCAGGTTCTGTCATCTGTTTCCTTAGGTCGAGAGAAGAATTATACTTCTCTCTGCCGAAGGTCGTGGATGCGCAAACCAGCGACATATGTGGGCCGGGGACATAAATTATGCAGATTTGGACAGTACTGGTATTAAAAATGCAAGTGTCCCTACCATGGGAAAGCCCCTAATCGGTATTTCATTTACACTAAAATGCTGTGCCAATATTCACCCAGGTCGCCAATAGGAAAGTCAATAGGCTTCCTAATAGAAATAACTATAGGTTTCCTAGAGGACATTTCCGTAAGGGTTTCGTGTAACGGAATGTATTTTTTCCCATTCCCATCACGCCGACGATTACGACTCATGGTTATTTAAAGGTCAGAGTTTTCCTGCACGATCAAATAGAGGAATTCGCTAATTTCCCACTGATTCAGCCCGAAAGTTTCTTCTTGAAGAAAGGCAATGTGATCAGTTTGGTCATTCGTCCTGAGGTCATCCAGAGGCAAAGCATAGCAGAGAATCCTTGCATCGTGGATGAGAACTACAGTTATGCCAGGGTGAGTTGTGGCGAGGCAAGGCAGAATGCCCGAAAAGTACCTTGAAACACTACCTAAGCAATTGGGTGAATTTCTTATTCAGTGCATGGAGAACTGTTTCTGGAGAATGGTGGAGTCTCACCCAAATGTGCCATGCATGTTACCCTCACTCCTGTCCAAGGAAACCAATCTCACGAAATCCGAGTGTCAAGATCCCGAGGAGGAAATGAATTTATTCATGCACTTGGGTGACTTCTATAAAAGTCGGGATAGAATGGCCCCCTACCAGCGTGAGTGTAATTGTCCGGCGAGGTGCAACACCATTGACTATCACATCTTCGGGGATCCCACTCCGGGCTGCGACGTTTTTGTCTCCGACAAAAACTCTTGGTTCTACCTGAACTATCCCTCGAAACAGGTTCGAACCTTCACCGACCTAACACATCTGCCCTTCAACGTTAAATAAGAACACTCCTCTGAATGCGTTCTTGAATGTTCAAACAGGTGCCCCATTTTCTGGAGAAGGAGAAAGTGACCCTTCTGGACCTCCTGTCCAACATCGGAGGAATCGTCGGCATCTGTCTAGGCTCTTCCCTCCTCACCCTCTTCGACATCATCGAGAAATGTTTCTTAAGCGTGTATCGTAAATTAATTTGACGGGAAAATCTTTCATCCGCGAAAGCATTCGTCTCTCCATCTTTTAGCAATTTCACTCGAGTTGGTTCATTGAATCTAGAAAATGAGAAGCGGAACAAGGAAAGCTACAGGCATTATTAGGTTTTCTGATGAAGGAATAGTAGGATTTCAGTAATTAGTTGTACTGAAGATTTAGCACTAATATATAATTCAATGGAAATCACAGTAAGCGTATAGTGAGATTCCGTCGATGTAGACTGGAATGCATGACCTTACCTTCCTCTGCAGCAATGTATGCTCAGCTCATTTGGCATAATACCCACCTAACTTAGATTTCGTTCTGATGTAACGATATTTAGTAAACGTTAATCGCCAAATGCTTTATGCATCTCACCCTCCCACCATCGTGTGCATGATTCATGAAGAAAACATTATTCGCATGATACTATTGCATTCACGAATCATGAGCAGGTCTCTAAGTTCCTGACGAAAAATAAAAGCATGGTATATCATGAATATGATTCGGTCCAGAAATTCTGCTAAAGCAGTGCCTCATAGAACATTCAGTGCAGGAAAATCATATTGGATGACATTTTCGTAAATCAATATTTTACTACTTCTTTCCAATAAGTCTGGAACTGCCCTACTAGATTTCTCATAGAAGATAGCACGAAAATAGTGCTCCGAGAAAGAACAAGAAAATATTGAACGAACTCGTTCATGCTCTAATTTTGTGCACTCAAATGTTTCCGAAGAGGCATTATGGTATCTTACCACTGCGGACTTCAGAAATCGAGTTATCATCATTTAAAGAGTCAGTTTTTCTCACTCAAGGTACATTTCAAAATTTGGAGAAATAATTTGACTGACGGGAGACTCAGGTGAATCCAGCTCGTGCCAGATTCTTTTCCTATCCTTTTTTTATTTTTTCTCCCTTTGTTTGAGATTTTCTCTTTCATGCATCGCGAACTACAGTTGTCCCATTCGCTATGTTCTGCTGATAATTTGTTTACATTTTCCTAATTGATGTGTAAGACGCATTTTGTGTTGTGTGTTGAATGTAGATTACAATATTAAACGAATTATGTGAAACTCATTTCATTTGAGAATTCTTTAAGCCTTTAGATGGGGGATTCTTGTTGGCTTAGCACATTTGGTTACCACATTTAGCATTTCTTGGTTACCGCATTAAGCAACATTGTAATGCATTGTTGCTAAATGTGGTAACCACCAAGCACGTCGGACCAAATGATTCCCATCCGACATGCCCGTACATTTATTCGCGCTTGAGGAAACAAGAATCAGGAAAACAGTTTCCTTCCATTGAAAAGTACTGAAAAGGTTACCGTTCAAGTTCAAGTACTGCTTGAAAAGGTTAAGGGCTAATACTCCGTTTCGAACCAATCGGATCTTCCGAAATGGGACCAATGCAATTTACCTTTATACAAGGTAAGGCACATTGCAAGGTAGTAATCCCTAATTCGCTCCTAATCGACTAGTACTTATTGAAATTCCCTATCGTACACTTAGCGAGACCATGCGATGCTTGGAACCCATTATCCGCCGAGTTTCTCAGCGAGGTTTTTTTATTTATCTCAAAATGTGTCCATGCTATTCATTTTCTGACTCAATGCAAAGACGTACAATGAACAGACTCGATGCGACAAAGTACAAGGAATCATTGAAAACAATAAATGTTCTACTCTCCTTAGTCTTCAAATCCATGATGAATCTCGTACCTCCTCAACCGAATGAGACCCGAATATTAGAGGGCCTCTCGATGCCCTGAGGGCAGTTTCACTGTTGATACGTAACAAAATACTATCGTGGAAATTATCAACGTAAAGTGATTATGATAACTTCACGAAATTCCTTAACAATAAGAACTGCATGAACATGAAGGGAATACCTCTCCCCTCAGCCGAAGGGATTGAAGATCTGCAGTTTTTTTTCTGGAATCACCTAACTCTTGGTATTACTCTTTCGCTCATAACTTCATCTGAACAGTCAAAAGTCAAGGACCATTGAAACCCTTAAAGCCCTTTAAACCCTTTAAACTCGTTAAAAACCATTAAAAAAAAGTATGGGCTCTGGCAGCACACGCCATAGGTTTCGCCTATTTTAACATGGTGCTAGATGGCATTAGATGTGCAACTTATCATCTCGTCGTTTTGGATAGTCGACGTTTTATCGCGTAAAGCCGAAAGGTATTTTGATGAATAATCTTTCATTAACTTATCTAAACTTATCATCAATCTGCAGTCACTCCACATAAGCCCTGTTCCTGTGACAGGCGTCAAAGGCAAATCCTTTCCCATGATATCATCCTGGAAATGGAATCATCCTCCCTCTTTCTTTCGAACCAGAGTTTCCCGGAGACTCCTTGGACTGGGTTACCTCTAAAAAATCGATTTTCTGATGAATTTATGCATACAAAGCGGCCTGCCCCCGCTACGCTGGCCACCAAATGGGAGAGAAATTTAAAATTCTCACATAATGATACGAAGCAGTTTGTGTTCAAACCAAGCTTGAAAAATTATACTATCTCCTAATGGAACTTCTTCAATTGTCAAGGGGTTTTTCGTTACGTTCCAGCGGAATTCGGTGCAAATCCGAGCAAGCAGTTCACGATTATCGACAGTCAAACGCTCCTCGGTCATTTCCCTCAAATTTCTTTTCAATTGGAATCGAACACATCGAAGATACAATCAGCCTAACTCAGCGCTGCAATCGTGTTTTCAGATGTGAACGCCTTCAAGTGACCACTGAAAAAAGGAATTAAAATTACGTCTCAAGAAAGAAGAAAACATCGACTAAAATGCAGAAATTTTTACCTGAAAGTGAATTACTTCTGGTTTCGATTGGCATGAACCACGTCTCAATTAAATCTATCATTATGAAGTAATTATTTTTCTAAAGATGGGCAGGGCTCTTGTCGTAATTGCCATCTACTGGGCGAGTCTTTTAAAAATAGAGTAAAAGTATACTAAAGTTTTCATGGCATAAAATTACATAGCCTTGTAGGCATTGTAGGATGAGTGACAACTATTCACCACCGCATTCGGCACCCTTCCAATTTCTCTTTCGTGAGGCCGATTTGGGAATGCAATATCCCGGAGGAGCATCCTCGAATGATGAGGAATAGTTCCGGCGAAACCTCAAGTTCATATCTCGAAACGTGAGCCTGTGTAGCTGTTTAGGTGTCTAACATATGTTCAACATCCTCAAGACAGAATAAGGGGTAAGAGAAAGACAAGAGCGGTTTTTAATGCAACTCATTCTGTACCCATATGTCTTGAAAACATAGCAAATATTAAACAAATTTCATTCCGCAGTACATTTTACACGAAATCTATTTCAATTCGAACCCATCGCTCGTCAGAAAATTGGGTACTAATTTCCTAAGAATTTTATTAAAATCGATTTCCAGTCAGAGGTTGATGCAGTGGCCCGGTTTGTCTTTTCGAGAGACAGGTCCATTATACTTGCCTGTTCTCGAAAGCCTGCACAATGGGCTCAAGTTCAATAGACTGTCCATCTTGCGGACCCATTCTTACAATGTCAACGTGTCAGGCGTGTCTACAAGAGGAGGAAAGCCTCGGATGAAGGCAAACATTCTCTTCCGCGGAACTTTGCGTTAGACGGTTTAGTGTGGACGCGGTCGATGAACACGATGAGAAACTGAAGATGAACAGGTCGATGGAGGCAGGTCCCCTCGCTTGAGGTGAATGTTGGGAAGACAGCAGCACCCGTCCCCTTTCCGATGGTGAGACTCTTCCAATCTTCATCAAACCTCAACTGCATATCTTGCACATTTCTCCGTCTGTTTCTTTATTTTTTTAACTAACCCCTACTTAATATTAAAAAATATACTAAATCAAACGCTTCTAGATCACGGGAGTGATTAGAAAGGGCTGGTCACTCATAATGAAAAATGTGGTAGGATATTTCTCGTTACATAGAACAGAGATTGAATAGCTCCGGGAAAATACGTTTTTATTAGACTGGGTGCATTTGCTGATTTCGTTCCAAGAGACATTAACCAAGTTCAGAATTAAATTGAAAATAGACGAAGACGTTCTCCCTTTCATTTTTTTCTATCAGAATGTGTCATGAATGTTCCAATTGCAG